AATACAAATAGCTGAGCCCTACCTGTTCCCATTTAAGTTTGTGGTAAAGAACAATAAAAGTATCAACGTTAACAAAAGCTAACCTCAACTTCTAAGATAATAAAATATTAAAATATGTAAGACATTTTGCATAAAGCAAACTATTTTGACTCAATAAACCGATTGCCAGGATAACCTCAACTTAAAAAAAAGCCGACATTTATTTGGTTGAAAAACACCTGTGTATTTCCTGCAATACCTGACTACACCAGGAACTCCAAAGCCACCATTTTTGCTCATCTCACTTTGACCTACTGCCTAAAATGCACACGAGGAACTTGGAGTATTTCAAAAATCATTAACCATTTCCCTCTTAAAGACGGAACTATTTTAGGCTCCGGAAAAAAAAAACACACAAAAAGAGTGAAGCAAAATGGTAGCCATAATATATGGCTGCCAGAAAAGCCTCTAAAAACTAGCTGCATTGAATGAGTTGATCTCTCTAACCTTTCTTTAGGGAATATCGAGGACATTCATAACTTATAAGAAAATTAATTATGAAATAATGCATCTAGGAGTTCCTCTATATTCACATAAAAAATTAACATTAATAGAGATAGTGTTGCCTCCCACAGCACCTACCCCTGACTGTCCTAGTTAATTAAAGCTTACACAGTGGCTTTAGCCTTGGGCAATCCTTTGAATCATATACGGTGCCATCATCCTCTGTATTCAGAGAAGTTGTGCTGACAGTTTTATTTCCCTGATGAACTGAAGTGATTGAACTGAAGAATGCAAAACAAACAGTCTATATTCACCGGATGTTTCCCCTCGAGTCTGTCCTTGGGTGAAGATGTGACTTTTCTCTCTGCCCTGCTTGAAAGTAAGAACTTGGAACAGGACAGTCTAACAAGAATACTGAAGTGTTGACTTAGAGGTCTTGAGATATAATTTTGGAGTAAATATTTATGTTTATGGTTAAACTGTTCATTATGTTGTCAGTTTTCTGGATGGCTGAACTGATGGCAAAGTTACATTGGGAAAGAAGAAAAAAGAGAGGGAGGGAGGGAAGGAGGAGAGGGAGAGAGGGAGGGAGGGAAGGAGGAAGGGCATCACAAAATAAGGGTTGCTGATGATCAGAATTCTCACACTTTGTTCTTATCATGGTTGTAACCAGCACATTGGGGCAGTGAGCCTCCAACACCAAGTCTGTCTCCAGAATTTAACAAGAAAGTCAGAAAAGGTCACATCTGCAACAGAATCTAAAAATCAGAGAAGGGGGCAGTGAAGGGGGTATGGGTGGAAGGAGAGAAAGATTAACCATTTATCCAAGGGGAACCAAGTTAGAGATTTTTTTTTTTTTTTTTTTGAGACGGAGTTTCGCTCTTCTTACCCAGGCTGGAGTGCAATGGCGCGATCTCGGCTCACCGCAACCTCTGCCTCCTGGGTTCAGGCAATTCTCCCGCCTCAGCCTCCCGAGTAGCTGGGATTACAGGCACGCACCACCATGCCCAGCTAATTTTTTGTATTCTTAGTAGAGACGGGGTTTCACCATGTTGACCAAGATGGTCTCGATCTCTTGACCTCATAATCCACCCGCCTCGGCCTCCCAAAGTGCTGGGATTACAGGCACCCGGCCCTGAGATGTTTTTTAAGTATGGCACCAATGAGGTTAGTATAATTTCTGACTCTGCTTGAGAAGACCAAGCAATAACCATGACCGAGCCACAGTAACATCCGCTGTATCATGTCCAAGTATTGTGAGCTTTCTTAAATCAATTTGGCTGCTAAGCTGTTATGAGGTTCTTTTGGTTAAAGTTTGGGTAATACCAGTGGTAATCATTAGTGCTATTTATAAATATTCAGGTTATCATCCTCTGAGACACATGTTCACCCTGTACATCCTGACACTCACTTGCTGGGCTGAGTTACCTGACCAGCTCATGTTGAGTTGCAAGGAATCTTTTTACATTACCAAGGTCATATCTGCCAGCACTCTTGCTCATGTGCGCTACAAACAGAAATGCTCCGGATTGCGGTTGTTCCATTGGCCTGTGTTGCAAAGCAAGATCAGCCATGACACAGAGCAGAGCCTCCAGCGAACCCATGGTGGGCATGTTATGTGAGCCAGAAATAACCCTTTGTTGCTTTAACCCACAGCAAAACCTACCTCAGCAGTTCTCAAAAAGTGCTCCACAACCAGCAGCGGCAGCATCACCTGGGCCTGTGCAATGCAAGGTCTCAGCCTCTCAGAGATTAAGATTGACAGACTCGGAAACTCAAGGACTGGGGCCCAGCCACCTGTGTGCTAACCAGCAACCCCAGGTGATACTGATGCTGGTGGCTAAAGCTGGAGAGCCAAGGACCTACTCATCCATCCTTCTGGAGCTACCTGTTCTTTCTGCCAATACCAGGTGGTAGATTACAAAGAAAGCAAGTCTTAGTCCAATTCCTGATAAGGGTAGAAATATTTACTAGCAAGCAGGCACTGAACAGTCATAAGACCTTTTCTATAGCTCAGGAAAGTCTCCTATCTGGAATTCTGACTGGCACCATACATAAAAGTTGCACTCTCAGGCAGATTAAAGGATATTCTGCAGATAGGACGAGGTCCTGGTAAATTGTCAGCGCCCTCCATAAAACAGAGCAATGCAGGACTAACATGACTCTAGACTGTAACGCTACACTGACTGTTTCAGCCCCTGGGCTTCCTGGGTCCTATACTAAAGACACTGGGACCCATCCAATGTTTCTAACCATTCACTGACTTTGGAACACACTCCCTTCACCACTGAAAAATTATTGCCTACATTCCAGTTGCTAATTAATAAATCTCTTAATTGCAAGAGACATGAAGTAGTAAGTAAATGAAGAGTTGGCTCCTCACTGTGATACTTTAAATGCTAACTACTCAACCTAGAAAATCAATTCTGACTATGGTGCTTCAACTGCCTTTAAGGTGTAAAGTTAATTTTGACCTGAGGCATTACACTATGTGTACACAAAGAAACATTGTAACAGCGGCCATGGTTTCATGGGATATAGTGAGAAGAGAACCAAAGAGTCAGTGTATCTGTATCAATGTATCAACTGATATAACAAATCATTAATACATTGCATCATTGATACAAGAGCTCAAGAACTATTCAGAAAAACAGTTCTAGTAGCCGTTACTGCCTATCTGGATAGAAATATTTGTAGAGAACAAAAGACAATTTGCCAAGCTCTAATACTACACTTTCTTGTCCATATCTATTGGTATAATTCTGTGCTCACCAAGCAAGTTCTCATTTGGTCTCCTCACTTTCCCTGGTAAAAGAGTGACCTAAGTAACAAAGGCAATTCCAGTTATCCTATCAGATGTCTTAAAACTATTACTTTAAAATTGCCATTCTGGTTTTTAAATCAGCACATTGTTAGTGTGCGAGGCTGAATAATGCCCACCCCCCTACACACACACACACACACACACACACACACAGAGGCCCATATCCTTCTCCCAGACTCTGTGAATATGTTACCTTACAGGGCAAAAGGGATTTTTCAGGTGTGATTAAATTAAGGCTCTTGAGATGGGTAGATTATCCTGGATTATCAACTTGGGCTCAAAGTAATTACTGTGACGTTAACAAGAGGGAGCCAGGATCCTCAAAGTTAGGGAGGAAGATGTGATGATGGAAACAGAAGTCAGATATTTGAGAGGCTCTGAAGATGCTGCAGTGCTGGCTTTGAAGATGGAGGAAGGGGTTCTGAGCCTCCAGTAGGAGCCAGCCCTACAGATACCTTGACTTTAGCTCAGTGAGACCAATGTTGGACTTTTAACCTCTAGAACTGTAAAATAATAAATGTGTGGGGTTTGTTTCAAGCCACTATGTTTGTGATAATGTGTCACCACAGCAATAGGATACTAATAGTTAGTATGATTTAATTTTCCAATATTCGATAACCTTTAGATAAACTAAAAGATTAAATTTCTGAAAGATGAAACCAGGTCCTGGGGTTATGATGAAGCCCTATGGGCATTCTCTCTCTCTCTCTCCTCTCTCTCAATTCTCTCTCTCTCTCTCTCTCTCTCTCTCTCTGTCTCTCTCATATCATAATCATCTTCACAGCCTGAAAAAAAAAATAGAAAGTAGGGATTCATTCTAGAATTGTATTCCTTGAGCATTCAGATACGATAAAAGAACACATTACTGCAGTAGAGTTTACCTAATATTTTCAATTGCCTGCAACAGAAAAAAAATATCCAGAACTGTTAACAACAGGCCAAGTTAGATGTAACGCATTCCATTCAGTAAATTTCTTCTACTTGACCGCTCAGAGAGTACCTAAGTTAGAACTACTCACTAAGTTCTAACAAGCTCAGTGATCTATTTGTCCAGCCCCATTGTATGATGGGCCTGTAGATCTGAAGCCACAGATCAGAAAGTGGAAATGTGGAGTGAATTACTAAAAGAGATCTCGTATCAGCAAAAAGAAGTGAGAGATCAAAACCTGACAGCAGGAATGAGGGAGAAGAATTCTTAAAATATAGACCTCAGGATTTAAAAAGAAAAATAAATAAGGCAGCAGTCCAGTGGGGCCATTTAGTGAAGGACCAACTAGACCTACCCACCTCAGTGGGAGCATCTGGGCACATCAATGCAAAATTTGGAGTTCTTTATGATAAATCTGTCATCAATATTGCTTTAGATTGTGGTTTTTACAAAATCTTAACAAGGCAGAGAAATATATGTTTCTTTATATAATAAAGATAAATATGTGTTTTATTGCTTATTGGCACAAGATGACTTAATGATTTACAAAATAGGAAGCCTCTCACTCCTTAACCATGCCAAACAAATAGTGTTAAAATACTATTAAAAGCCAGGCATGATGGCTTACACCTGTAATCCCAGCACTTTTGGTGGCTAAAGCAGGTGGATTACTTTGAGGTCAGGAGTTCAAGACCAGCCTGGCCAACATGATGAAATTCCATCTCTACAAACATATAAAAATTAGTGAGGTGTGGTGACACATACCTGTAATCCCAGCTGCTCAGGAGGCTGAGGCAAGAGAATCATTTGAAGCCAGGAGGCAGAGGTTGCAGTGAGCCAAGATTGCAACACTGCGCTCCAGCCTGGGCAACACAGCAAGACTGCATCTCAAAACAAGAAAACAAACAAACATAAATATATATATAATTAAATATATAAATATATTTATACATAAAATATATAAAATACATAAATAAAAATATACATAAATTATATAAATATATATAAATATAAAAATGTATAATATATATTAAATATATAATTAAATATATAATATATTTTTTTAAATATATAATTAAATATATAATATATTTTTATATATATTCTATATGTATATAATTAAAACTTTAGCCCTAAGCATAGATTTCTTTTCCAAATGAAAGTAAGGTGAATTTATGTGACCCTACTAGTTTACAGATGACCTAAGCCTTTAGAACAAGAAGATGAAGTCAGTTTTTTGGCATATACAGATCTTCAACACTCCCAGCCCTGAGTTTCCTAAGGCAAGGATTACATTAAGTCCCATGAACTGATTTGGTAATCATCACTTTGCATATCATAAAAGGTAGTATGTTAGGTAAGTATTTCATACTCCCTGGGGACTCTGTTGAAGGAAGTAAATAGATTACCAGGCATAGCCGTAAACCAGAGTGAAAAGGTCTGTCAGACAACATGCTGGATGGCTCCACAGCTTGGAGCTTCATCTCCAGATTCCAGATATTACCTTACTGAGCAACTCTAGTAAATCTCATTCCAGAAAAAAATGTTAAACATTTCCCAAGCTTCAAACTCGAAGTAGAACATGAGTGAAAAGCATGTATCAACTCGATGGGTGAGTAGACAGTTTCATTGCATCCTTGCTCATCAGACTTAGTGACTCTTCACCATCATGCCATTCCCCAAAATGATGCTATGGAGTCCCTTATAGATCTTTCTCTCCGAAGCCAGAAGCTCTGTTTGCTGAGAACATACCCATAGATAATATCCCTGTAATCCTCATGCTGAAATAGCAGAGAAACTAGGAGAAAAGATGAAATTACAATAAAATGTGAAATGTGCTCTGGCAAGAGTAATATGAGATCCCGTGGAAGTTTTTAGTGCTCTCATATGAGAGCACAGAAGCCTAAGTGGGAGTTACCAGCTGAAGGTGTTAGCATAGGATTGAGGGGGGGATCTTATAGGAAGCTGAAAGTGCAGGTGCAAAACCTAGTGTTGACAATGTGAGCTGGGCATTAACACAACCAGAAAGGCTCATGTCAGCTCCCCTTAGAGGCCATGTTAGAACATTCAGAGTTGATCCACAGAGCAATAGGAGTCTTTGAAGGGTTTTAAGTGTCACAGATATCAAGAGGGGTGCACTCAGAAATGGCTTTGGAACTATCAAAGCTTGAGAAGACCTACGAGAAGACTAAAGAATCTCTCCTAGAAGATCCTCATGGCACCAGAGTAAGCAACTCACCCTGGTTAGTGTCCTGACTTCTCCTGAATTCAGTTCAAGGGATGGGTCTGGCAATATCTAACAAGGGGTATCAATCTGACATCTCTACAGGTCAAATCCAATGGTGAATGTGTTTTCTTGGCTTGCACAGTGATGACTTTTCAATGAACTTAGACGTCTTTTTAGAGTAGGGCATGCCATCTCCATCACCCTCTGTTTTTTTAAAGTTGAGCCAAGTTGCACATCTATCTCACCAGCATGGCCTCTGTGGACATTTGAGTGTGTGAGCCTATGAGATAAGATATTAATTTTTTTACATTTAATCTAGAAATCATCATCATCCTTTCAGGCATTTGGGCCATTATTATTACAACACTTTCATGTACCAGGCAGGCACATGGAGAGTTCAAGGAAGTATGAAAACATCATTCCTTGCCCCATGGAGAGTTACCTTTTTTTTTGGAAAAGGTATTTTTAAAAAGATAATTAGCAAAAGATTTGAATGAACATTTCACCAATTAAGGTATACACTGAAAAGAGGTTCAATATCATGTATCATTAGAGAAAAGCAAATAAAAACAACAATGAAATACCACTCCACACCCACCAGAATGGCTATAATAAAAAAACACAGGGATAAATGCTGATGAGCAGGATAGAGAGAAATGGGAACCCTCACACATGGTTGATAGGATGTAAAATGGTGAAGCCACTTTGGAAAACAGCTTTCCACTTCTTAAAAATTAAAGATGAACTGGCCAGGCATGGTGGCTCTTGCCTATAATCCCAACACTTTGGAAGACCCAGATGGGTGGATCACCTGAGGTCAGGAGTTCAAGATCAGCTTGGCTAAAGTGATAAAACCCCATCTGTACTAAAAATACAAAAAATTAGCCGGGAGTGCTGGTAGGCACCTGTAATCCTAGATACTCAGGAGGCTGAGAGGCAGGAGAATCACTTGAACCAGAGACAGAGGTTGCAGTAAGCCGAGATCATGCCACTGCACTCCAGCCTGGGTGACAAGAGGAAGACTTCCTCTCCAAAAAATAAAGTTAAAGATGAAGTTACCATATCACCCACCTATATCCACTCACAGAAATTTATCCAAAAGAAATAAAAACATATGTCCACATGAATATGCATGGCAACATTATTCATTCATAATAGCCATTTGGAAATAATTCAAAGGCAAGCAACTGGTGAACAGATGAACAGAATGTGGTATATCCATACAACGGAATATGTACAGAAGCATACACAAATGAGGTATTTATACACATTAGCACATGGAAGAACCTCAAAAACATAAACCAAGTGAAAGAGGGAAGCCACAAAACCATATTGTATAATTCCATTTCTATGCAAAGTTCAGAAGAGGCAAATCAATCTACAGAGAGAGAAAGTAGACCATCAGTTGCCTGAGGCTGGGGGTCGGAACAGAGAGTGACTGCAGATGGACACAGAGGATCTCTGGGAGATAATAACAATGTTTTCAAATTCGATTGTGCTGAAGGTTGCATAACTCTGCAGATTGACTAAAAATAATTAATTATATATATAAAATGAAAGATTTTTATGAAATACAAATTAATCTCAATAAAGCTGTTTAAAAAAGATAATCACAAAAAAACTAAAATAAAAACGATAATCACATATTGTGAAACATAATAAGTATCAAACCAATGGTGAAAAAATTCTAAAATGGCTGGATGCAGTGGTTCATGCCTGTAATCCCAGCACTTTGGGAGGCTGAAATGGGCAGATTACTTGAATCCAGGAGTTCGTGACTAGCCTGGGCAACATGGTAAAATCACATCTCTATAAAAGAACATGAAAAAATTAACTGGGTGTGGTTGCATATGCCTGTAGTTTCAGTGACATGGAAGGCCAAGGCAGGAGCATCACAGGAGCCCAGGAAGTTGAGACTGCAGTGAGCTGTGATCACTGTACTCCAGCCTGGGCAACAGAAGTGAGAAGCTGTCTCAAAAAATTAATTAATTAACTAATTAATTTAATGGTATCCAAGTTTTTTATATCATATTATCATGTACCCGCCCCCCCATTAAAAATGTGAGGGTTGGCCAGGCACAGTGGCTCACACCTGTAATCTCAGCACTTTGAGGCCAAGGAGGGTGGATCACTTAAGGTCAGGAGTTTGAGACCAACCTGGCCAACATGGTGAAACCCCTCTCTACTAAAAATACAATAGCCAGGTATGGGAACAGATGCCTGTAATTCCAGCTACTCAGGAGGCTGAGGCAGGAGAATCACTTGAACCCATGAACCAGAGGTTTCAGTGAGCCGAGACTGCACCACTGCACTCCAGCCTGGGCAACAGAGTGAATTAGACTCTATCTCAAAAAAAAAAAAGTGAGAGTTCATCTTTAATATATATGTGCATTTATTTATTTACAAATTGTAACATTAACTAATATATTAGTATCTTATAGACAGCAAAAACTAGATCCCAAAAGTAAAATTAATTTCAAGCATACAAATAGATAATATTTGAATTCAAAAGTATTGATTTGATCATAAGGATTTTAAGAATAAAAGAATGTAAGGGTTAGAATTAGTGAGCAAAGTGAACTCTAGAGTAATAAGCATGTGAATGTGGGAAGCCTCCAAAATTGACTGGGGATTATGCCACAGACAAGACCACCCACGTATAATCAACCCTCAGAACATTCATCAAATTGAAAATCATGTTCAAAGAGATGCTGTGTTTGCATGATGAGCAATGGACATCAATCAAAATAAACCCAGCTGTTCTGAGGATGGCAAATATTCAGGAACATGGAACTGCAGACCCTCTTTAAAATAAATGTCAACAAGCAGAGTTCAAAAGAAGAGAACAGAGGAAGAAAACTGAAGGTAGGAATCATATGAAGATCAAGCTTCCTACACAATACGATCTGCTTCCAGTGGGAGGGATTTAGCCACATACTCTGTCTTACCACCTATTGTGACCAAAAAGTTCATTATAATAAGGATGGTACCAGGTTCACGTGGAGTTATAACAGCTATTAAAACTTTAAGTAAGTTTGCTACATTCATTGGTGTTTATCTTTAACCCTTTTCCCTGAGATTTCATTACGAAAATAATGATTTCTGTTGGCCTTGATGTTTACAATGTGATACGTGCAGGGAGTTACAAACAATAAATGAATATAACCATTCTTTTGGTTATATTAGGGGTTCTTATTGGTGAGTTGTAAGAGACAGATAAAGTTGGATGGGGAATTGAGGGCCATAGGGGAAAAAAAAAAAAACATATAGGGAGTTAGGCCTTTTTCTCTGTACCCGTCATAGGGGGCATTCTATGTTTTTGAATACAAGGCCATCTGAGCTATATGGTTTTCAGGGAGATTGACAGAGTGCCACAGACAGCACGGACAAGTGTAGGGAGAGCAGAGAGGCAGTGTTCTAACTTGTTGGAATTTTAACAGAATACTAACCCGGAGCAGGCTGAACCTGAGGGCCCTGACCAAGACGGCAGCAGGGAGAATAGAAGCAAAAGTAAAGCTAAGAGAAAGCAGTCGACAGTGAAGAGTTACAGATGGTTGATGGGGATGGAGGAGTTTATAAATCCTGATGCCAAAAACTCTCCAAAACCAGGCCAGACAGAGACCATGTTCCACTGAAGTGCACAAAGGTAAGCTAATACTCCA